GATCAGGACTGATCAAAACTCAAGATTTATTTCAGGTTAAAACTGAACAAAGAGACAAATAAAACACTTCTTGTTTAGTTTTTTAATAAACTTAAAAGTCAGGTTTTACCAATTTCAAATGTATTTGTCAGACAGCCTTTAGTTTTTACTTTTAAACCTCTCATCAAACAATTCAGAATCGATACTTAAAATGACTAATYTGGTAAAGATTTGACTTCAGAACGTTTGAAAAAAGCTGAAATCCAGAGGGGATCTCTAAAACAAACATCACTGCTCCGTCACCTGCTGTATGAAGTCAGAYTGTTTAGAGAGAAAAACTGAAACTGTGGGTGGAAGAATGTTGCAGWCTGGGAATAAAAACCTGTAATAAAACAGAACAATAATAAATAAAATGAAATCAGAAATAAACTTTTTGTGTCATTTGTTTGTTTAAAAGCAGCAGGAAAATGAATCACCAGTCTTATGAGTTGGTGGGACTATTTGTTGTATTTTGATCATGTTTTAGAGATAAAATGTTGAGTTTTTGAGTCATTTCTAAATAAATGTGCAGCTGAAGGGACATCAACTCCTCTCTGAGTCATTTATTTGTTTGATTAATTTCAGAGTTTGTGGTTTTCTCTTCATAACAAACAGTTTTGATTTTGGCTGAAACCAGTTTCCACACTGATTAATCTTTTGTCATATATACTTTACGTTTAAAGTAAAAGTACCTTTACCCAATTCAGTTGAACCAGTCGACATATTTTTATTAAATCCACTGTTTGTTAGTGTATTTATTACTGCAATTTCATAGACTTAAATAACAGCTTTCCCAGTATGTTCATTATTAGTAAGGATAGGTTCGGGCCTGCTGACAGGKTATTCTGCAGGATTTTGCAGTTATCTGAGTGTTTGAGGAGCAATGACAAACAGCCACAGGAGGGGGCACCAAATCATTGGGGGTCCAAACAGGCAATGAGAACAAAAACAAATCCCTCCCCACCACGAGTTGTTGACGTCCTGAAGGAGAAGTTGGACCTGCAGGAACCCATCAGCTCTAACTTTCAGCTCTTTATCATTCAGACACTTTCTGACTCAAACCAAGTGAAATCCACATTTAAATCATTTTTTTCTCATTTTCTCCATCGCAAATAGATAAATTATTATTTCATTCCCCCAAAT